TTTTTTTTTTTTTTTTTTTTTTTGCATTTAACTGTTCTGTGGTATTAATTTCATTTTGGCAATTGTCAGCTGCAATTTCTTTTAACTTTATACAACATATGTAAGTTTTCTTTTTTCTTCTCACTAAATTATTTCTATTCTTTTTTCTACAATTTTTTTCTACCTGAAAAATTTAAAATAATTTATTGCTGTGTTAATAAAAAAACAGCAATATACCGTAAAAGGATTTGTTAATTGTATTTGTGATTTTATTAGATTGTTCAAACAAAATTCCACATTACAGTAACCTGCTCAAATTTCCACTGTTCACCTTCGCTTTTACACTTATTTCAAATTTTGTTCTGAAAAACCACATTGACAAAGGTATACTGCAAAACAGTTTTATTACTTTTTCCAATAAATTACTGCTTCAACAATATTTGTCAAAATTGAAAACAGAAAAAAGTGCTGTTATAACGGTCTGAATTAACTAAATGCTTAAAATAGCGACAATAGCAACATCTTATCTTCACACTTGAAATTCTGGAATCAGTATTATTATTATTATAACAAAAATAAAACATTTGTTCCTCTCAATTTGTCTATTATTTAAATGTCATTAAAAATCATATAACAGTAGTATTTCCCACAGATTTGAAAAATACCATTTTTACTCTTATATAAAGGGTGTTAAAAGAGAAATAACTAATAAAAGGTTAAGCCTAAAATCAAAAATTCATTTGGCGTTGATATATACTTATAATAACAAACAAAAACAACTTAAACGCATTTTGCGCGATACAGTAAGAAGAAACAACTGAAATAAGATGAAAATTTTTGCTAATATTACAAAATTAAAGCAGTTAAAAACTTAAGAAGTTTTGCAAAAAAAACGACTGTAACTAGTAAAGCAAGTGGTTTGGCTAATTACCTGGTTTATAACTTGGTAAACCTTCAAATATTTATTACATTTAGCAGTTGGCAGATTGTCTGTTTAGCATTACAATAAAGAACTCTGCTGCTTTCAAGCAGATAAAACTGCTCTGTTCATAAACAACTCTCTGTAACACTCAAATTACTGAGAAAAATTTATATGATACACACAGTAGGTTAGAAATCATATTAAAAATCTTATATTAGAGCAAAAATCGTAGCGCCTTTTAGCAGTATCAATAAACGGCTGCAATCTTCTGCTACAGAACTACATGCTCGCCAAGATATGTAAAAAAGTGACTTCCGCTTGTTTTTTGAATAGAAAGAACAGAATATACAACTTCCGCTATTTTTATTCAACTTAATGCTTCTTCCTAACGCTCAACTGTTAAAGTTCAAATACTTGTGGAACAACAGCATACTTAATGGACTTAAGCAAGAATAGTTTTGGAATCGTAAGCCTTAAGCACATTTACAGCGAAAAACTTATTTAACATATTTAGAAACAAATTCCGTAAAGATAATATACCATAAAAACACATCGCCGATTAAGTAAGCGCTTGATTAGGATCAACCACATAAAGCAGACGTGAATCCAGAAATTGAATAATTTGGATTTTTACACTACAGAAGCTGTTGCACCACATATTTTATTACACTCGAACTAGAAAGAAACATGTTTAATGTGCTAAAAACAACTTCTACGATACAAAGTCATATCAAATAACCATTATGCGAGGAGTATTAGAGTATTTTAAAACGATTATTACGCTTCAAAATAAAACAAACTAGGGTTCTTTAAAAAATTGAAAGCCACATCAACGCTTAAACCTCTTTCTGTTTACTAGAAATTATAACTGTTTAAAAAATAAATTGTAAATTATCCAAAAAAATGTTGGTGAACCACAGAATGCATTATTCAACAATGTCGTTTCCGGTTACCAAAAACTGCTTAAAGCGAAACTAATTTAGTTTGCAAGTTAATGAATTTAAGGTATTATACTGCCAGTCAGATGCTTCTTTCTACACCGAATTCTTGTGTTATAACGACGAATCATCTCCAGCAATGTATATGGCACGACTTCGATTTCATTTTTAGAAAATTTGAATTTATAATAACTGACAAATCCATAAAAAGCATTTTCTGATTATATCTCCAAATTTAGTCTTTGTGTAAGAATGCAATGATCCCCAACAGTCTTTGTGTAAGAATCCTGCTTTCAAGATAAAGTAGAAACCACAGAGCAAAGTGAAATTGGAAGAACATAAGAAATGTATTGGCAAGTCAGCTTTCCTACTTGTCAATTTTCTTTGATTTTCTCTATTGAATGAACCTTAGCGCTTTATTACAGCAATACTGTTCTGGTTTTGAGAACCACTGCCAGCCGATACGCTTTTATTTCCTTCAGAGCATCGTACCAATAAGTACTTTTGTTACCGCATGACCATTTGATGACTTCCAATAACAGATTCTTTCACGGGAAACTCATCGAACAGCAGAATACTTTTTAGGATGCAAATCTAATTTTAGAGCAGCTAGAGGTTTCGCGTATTTATTGGGCTATACATATCGATTTCTATGTGCTTCATAAAGCACAGTTTTCATTTAAGATTAAAAAACATTTTGAAATGATTCTTTTCATCTCTCTCGTATCTCAATATGTCTTCAGGCCTGGATCAATTTAAAGTTTTGAAGAATCTGCTTCTGCACCTTGTCCCATACACCAATTCGTTTAAAACAGTTTTTAACCGCAATAGTTTGTTCCCAAAGTCTCCAGCCAAAGCATGTATAATTATCACTAACCAAGTTGTTCTCTATTTTGTAATACCAATGCTATTATCTGCAAATGCTCGTTTTAACACCAATATCTGCTAGGTTAGACGTTCAGAGCAAACTTTAGTTCTTGCACTTAAAAACTTATAACAGTAGATCACAAATGGCCGATATAAAACGTTCCTATTCTTATTTGTTTCGGCTATAACGTCTGTTCCAAAGCTCAACTTGCAAAACTGTCAGATACCTTTAAATTGTTTGCTTTTTTCTGCTTCCCATATTGATATGTGATTTTTCATTAACTTTTAAAACCCTTCTGTATTTGTAATTCCAGTTGATAGTACAAAAAAACGGTACACTTTTTTATTTAAAACTGATATTTTTATCTATCGCAGCGATTGTGCTTTAACAAGGTGCAAATATAATCCAACTTATACAGCAACAAAATTTACTGAGAATTATATTTGAAAAAGCAAGCGGAGAAAGATGGTATAAGCTCAAAGCGGCTCACCTCGTCAAAGAGAACGCGACGGTTTAAAACTGTTTCTACGGTATCTGAAAAGTTTTTCTGTGATATAAAATTTTAGATCGTAGATTGGAATAGTGGAGAGGTGCAAAATAAACACTGCGCCGTTCTGAAGAAATATACTGTAATGAAATCTTTTGTTTTAGAACGTCTTGAAGTTGTCCCCAACAGAATGTTTTATCGTAACCAGATGAAAGTCATAAATTACCACTGGAGGCCTTCAATCATAACTTTACTATTAAATAGATTTTCACTGCACATCTGTTCTTAGGTTAATTTATGAGGTATCTGCAAATGCAAATTTCTTCAATTCTTAACAATGTTCAAAGATTATTACTTGTTACAGTGTAGTGCAAAAGTAATTTTTTATAATCACTGTTTAAACTTCGTCACTCATCAACTTTTCTGGAATCTTGTTGATCAAGACTGAAAACCGTTTTTCTCCAAGTATTTATACTCATTCGCTGTTTTTACAACAAAAGTTAATCTTAACATGCATTCAATATCAAAGGTCTTGTGACTTGAAAAAACTAATGAGTTTGAAGCAAAATAGTTTCAAAATTGGTGCTGTGTTCAAGCAGTTAAAAAATCAGCTCAGAAAACCTGTTGGTCTAATACACCATGGATAGCTAAAGGGTAGTCCTGGAAGCTAGAAAGAGTTGATAGGAGGAAACCATGAACAGCCAAAATAAGCTCTGAACTTCATTGCGACAGTAAATAAACAGATTTTGAAAAAACACCAAATACAAAACCTCTGCCTTACTCAACAGATGTTCTTTATCTACTTAAAAATCCCAGTTTTTTCATGGTTGACAAAAGAAAATGTACTTCTAAGCAATGATTTCCGAAATCTTTTTAAAAAACTTAAAATTAAAATTGTTTTATTCACTGACCTTTAAATGACTATATATCTTGGTGAGATGGTACAAAATAAACCGGGAAGTTATATTGTTAGAATAACTTCTGAAAAAATAACCGGTTAGAAAGCAAAAGAAAACTAGAAAAAATACTTATATACTTATTGTCTGCATAATCGATCAAATCTATTGAGTGTTTTTTCAAAGAAATCATTTTAAAAATTGCAAGTAGTGATCAAATTTTTTACAAATTTTGAGTAATCTTTAGCTGCTGCTGTGCATATGTTGGCTACCCAGCAGATTATTTTTTGGTAGCTCAATGATCTTTATTTTTATCTTCAGCCTAAGGTGGCAGCAGCGGAGAATTCTTCCACCAGAACTGTGAAGAGGGAAATAAAGGTCAAAGTGAAGAATGAGCTTTTGGCAAGCGATAGTGAAGACGACATTCCTTTGAGTTCACGTCTGAAAGGAAGTGCAAAAAAGCGTTCAAAGTTTGACGATGATGATATAGACTACGAAGCTGCTCCTGCGGTATGTTCACTGCTTTAGCTTTTTTTGAGCATAATAATTGATATCTTTAAAGTAATTTTAAAAGGGAGGAAGAAGAAAGAAAAGATTACTGTGAAAAAAGTGACAACCTCTTCTAAGAAGAGTAAAAAAGATGAAAAAGTGGTTGTAAAGAAGAAGGTTGATGTCAAAGAGGATGTTTGGAAAATGGTTTGTTTTTTAATAGGAAATATCGGCTATCAAATATCTTATTTGTTTTCACTTTGGGTTACATGTTTTCTTCGTTGTAGCGATTATTTAGAACCTCTAGCTTTTTGTGCGTTTTCTAATTTTTAGGAGGGAAGAAGAGAAGGAATCTGCAGGGCTAAAGTGGAAGAGTTTATCACATAAAGGACCTTTGTTTGCACCACCTTACGTCCCTCTACCGGATAGTGTGAAATTCAGTTCTGATAGCAAGGTAGCTTAATTAGATCATCAGTTTGGTACTAAGGGTTTTTTCTAACTAGTTTATTTGTTGTGTTATAGGAACTGAAGTTATCTGAACTAGCTGAAGAAGTTGCTGGCTTCTATGCTCGCATGCTTGACCACGAATACACTTCAAAAGATATTTTTAATAATAATTTTTTTAAGGATTGGAGGAAGGCAAATATCTTAGATTGTTTAGTTTAATTTTTAGTTTGGTGGAGAATTATTCAAGCAGTATCTATGCGGATATCTTACGGTTTTATTTGGCAAATCTGCTTTTTTTTTCTTAAAACAAGAGGCTTAAGTAATAGATGGTTACAGACTATGGCGCCTAAAGAAAGGGAGATCATTACTGATTTGAAAAAGTGTGATTTTCGACCAATGTATGCATATTTTGTTGAAATGTCTGAGAAGAGGAAGGCGATGCCGAAAGGAGAGAAACAGAAAATTAAGGAGGTGATTTGTCATGCTTTCTTTCAGAGACCGTAAAGTTTAGTCGTGAAGTTAAAGGCAGTTTTTTATTTTTCTTAGGAAGAGGAAGCTGAAGCGAGGGAATACGGTTTTGCTTATATTGGTGGGCAGAAACAAAAGATGGGTGATTTTCGCATAGAGCCACCTGGGTTATACTGAGGTAGGTGTCGCGAGAAGCGAGACAAGTTACTTGAGGGAGAATACCTACTCAAAGGCGGCCTTGTGATCTGTGTGATCCTATAAATAGTTGGCCAATGAAGGGGATGGTCATTGTAAAAAATTGTAGAGTTTGTACGATTTTGTATAGTTCTGAAAGAGCAGTTTTGTAGCCCTATATTATCTTCGTTGTTTATATTATTGATCGGCTTCTTCTTGCTAAGGTTTGTTTGTAAATTAGAATTTTGACTGCTCGGTAAAGTTTCGTTTCCGGAGTTTTTGAGGTTTAGAAATTCTAACTTGAATTCCAACGTAATGGGCATTGGAATTGTCAGCTCTACTCTGCTATAGACCAATTGGTAGGATTAAGTCCAATTGGAGTTGTCGTTTGTATAGAATTCCAGTACAATAAACATTGAAATAAGCTCTTTCTTTATCTTTGACGGTTCTTAAGAACTTCTGCCAGCAGGTAACCATCCTTTCTGTTTCTATATTCGACTGATCCAATTTACCTGCATTGTTTCTTTATATTCCGGCGATTTCTTCAATCTTGCTACATTTTTCTATATTTTTATTAGCGGAGACGTACTTTCATATACAATTTGTTTCGACGACAACGTCCATTCAACACACGCGTACTCCCTTCTTGTTTTTCCGCTACAGTAGAGGCGGCCACCCAAAAATGGGAAGGCTTAAACAGCGTGTGCAGCCTGAGGACGTCATTATCAATTGTTCTGAGTAGTAGCTATATTAGCTCTCAAGGTGGCATTTACTTGTCTTATTCAAGAAATCCTTGAGCAGGATTTGTTTCCTTTTAGGAATTTGGAGTTATCGGTATCTCTTGCTGGTCACCATTGAAAGGAAGTTAGACATGATAACACGGTTACTTGGTTTTGTTCTTGGACAGAGAACGTTTTAGGGCAAATTAAGTGCATCATGCTGAACCTTTCTTCAAAAAGAAAGGTATTTCTGCTTTTTTTTTTCTTTGGAGAGAGAGAAAAGAAATTTTCTTGCACTACATTTTACTGATTAGTTTTTAGAGTGAGAAGGATTATGGAAAATTTAAAACTGCTCGGCCTCTTAAATCAAGAATTGACGATATACGGGCTGTCTATATAACTGATTTCTAAAGTCGTGAAATGCGTATACGACAGTGAGCCGTAGCATTATATTTTATTGGCAAAGTATGTTGCTTTAAAGTCAAATGTCTAATCTGTGTCTGTTACAATAGCAATTTCTTCCAGTAATTCAAACGACACTTTAGTTTTTCAAGCTCAGTTTTATTTAGTTGGCTCTTCGTGCTGGTAACGAAAAGGATGTTGATGAAGTGGTCGATACAGTGGGTTGTTGCTCTTTGCGTTCTGAGCACATTAAATTGCATGAAAACTTGGATGGCCAACAGGTAGTATATAACTGTTTTATTTCGTTTCAAACTCTTAGTTCAGGGTGGTTTTAAGTTATTTTTTAAGAGCGTTTATTTTCTTATTTGCTTATCAGCGTAACAACTAAATAATTTGCAGCTGCGTTTAAACAGTTGAAAAATTAGCTTAGAAAACCTGTTGGTCTAATACACCATGGATGGCAAATTTTTAAGACCTTTGTATTCATCGTGGCTTCAGCTCTACCAACTAATTTTCCGCTCTATTCCGTAGCTATCCGCGCAACAGAAAAACAATATTCCATAACCATTGGTTTTTCAGCATAAAAATTTCTTCAGGTCCAATCTCTACAATAATTAGTGTCTACACCAGTTAGACAGTATACTCCAGCAATAAGACGTCACAGCTATTGCGAATTTGTAGTTGCACAGAGTTAGCACTGCCATAATTAGTTCTCCGGCTGAAAGCAGTAAAATTATGTATTTCGTAAAGCCGAAATTAAGGGATGCTCTTTTATTCTGCATTAAATATTTAATTAAATATGAAAATGAAGTTTTTCAACTTTTTCGTTTTTATACTGTCGAAAAACGCAGTTCTAGTTCTTGTCACCGGTTGATTAAGTTTTGAAAAATCGTTTTATTGAATGAAAAGTGAAGAAAGCGCCCAAGCAAATTTTACTAGTCATAAAATTGTTTAACAGTCATGAAATTGTCTGATGTCCGCTACGAAGTAGTCGACTACTGCCAAAGTGATCATTAACTTTCGTCCGTATTTGTCGCAGTAGGAAGTAGAAGTTGGCATAGCTTTAAAAAAAAATTTTAAATGTAGCATTACGCAGTATCGTTGGAAACCTTGCGGTTATTGACTGCATCATGCCAGCAAGATGTATGCCAAACTTTTCAGTCCTTGACTTTCCCGAGAACAGAACAAAAAACTTTTTCACATGATTGTCTTTAATAGTTGTTTTATCCCAAGAAAAAATAGAGTTTTTTCAGTCATCCACTTCTTAAAAATGCAATACCGTTCCCTCTGAACTTTCTTTACAATAAGAATTCTGGAAGATTGCGAGTCTTTGAACTATTCTGAGAAAATCTTTATGAAAAATAAGGAGAGAAAATAAAAATAAATTCTAGATGGTTTAGTGAAATTTTCACATCTTATAAAACTAATGCAATAGAGCTTTGGTCATTTTACAGTTATTTCACTGTGTTCTCAAAAGTTATTTCTGGCTCACTGTAATTTTTGTTCCTGGACATTTTAAAATTAAGTGTCAGATCTACTTTGGTCCTCCAAAATTCTTGGGACAAGAAATGGTCTCGTTTTACTTGCCTCAAATTAGTAATATTCAATAAAAAGCTTTATTAAAAGTTATAATCTTTTTTCCAGCTACGTTTCACAACCAGCAGTTTTTTCTTGCCCTGCAACTTTCAAAATATGAAACTGACATCACAGTATCAAAGACGCCCAATATTGTTTTTGAAATTTCAAAAGGAACACACAGCGTTCTCAAAAAATTATTTCGCAAGAAGTCGAAAAATTAGCACACAAAAAGTAATCTTCATGAGAGATAACTACCTCGGCAAAAAGTATATTTGGTGTGTAATTCAGCACCCTACAATTTGGTGTTATATCGGTATCTAGAAATTTGCAAGCGTTTTACAGGAAAATATGCTAAAGATAACACTGTGGAAACCGTACTGATAAGTTAAAGAAATTTAAATAATTATAGTTTTTGAAGCTACCAAATTCCTGGCAAAAACCAATTTGTAAAATCCTTGTATTTGAAAGCACTAATAAATGACACGTTGAGCAGTTCCATGAGAACTGAAAAGAGCTTGAAATAAAAAGAATTAAAAGTGTTTATAACATATCATGTCAAAAAATTGCCTTTGTTGCGACCGCTCGCGAAAGGCACTGTAGGGTCACCGAAGGTTACTGTAGCTCCCTGAGGGGAAGCTCCCAGAGGGGCTGCAAGTTGACCAACTGAGCAGATGGAAGCCATGTATAAAAGGGAGAGTACTCTAAGAAAAGTCAGTGTTGTTGCTATTGACCTCAGTGTTTGTGTCTACTAAAGTTATCTCAAGTGTTCCGGTTTGACTGCAGATATCGTCTGCAGTTCTTTCCAAGTTTGACTCATTCGTCTGCTATTATTGATTTATACTATATTCTTTCTGTTATTGCATGCCCAGTAGGCAATTTTGTTTATTGGACTTATTTGTAATCAATATTTGTTGGTATAGTAATGAGTGTTCGACCAGTGTCAATAACAGTTTCTTGATTGTAAAGTATAAGGGTAAAGTGAGAATAAAGGATTTAAGAATAAGATAAGGCTCCAGCAGAAGACGATCTCGCCCGAGAAGACAAGTGAAGCGCAGAGGTTCAGGAGATTGGAGGCAAAGAAGTCGGAGATCTTTAAAAGGAAATACAGTCCGTATTGGTTGGTAGCCGTGATTCGTAAGGGGCTAATTACGGTCACAGTTAAACAAGCGTATTACGAGAAGGACCCACGTAGGGTGTGTACGGGGGATTACTGTATCAGTAGTGCCTCGACTTAGGAAGTTGTCGGTTCAGCCGCGACAGCATTTAAGTTTTTTTTCGACAATATCAAGCACGAATTAGGCCTCAGGTCTCGCTCAAACCCACGACGCATGCTTGTTACTTTTCTAATTTATAAAAATACGTCTTTTAGGAAGTATCTATCAACAAATTTCTCAATCATTTTGAGTTCTCTTGTGTATAGATAGTATGCTGTAATTAGGCAGCTATTCTCGGACAGACCAGAACGCAGGCAGAGAACATGGAAACTGTGAAATAAAGCTGGTTCTCCTTGAAAATTTTCCTCAAGTTTAGAACTGCGGTCACAAAACGTTATCACTATTCTTTACGGCACCTGCCACTCCGAGAGAACTGTGTCGTGAGATGCTAAGGGTTAGAACAAAACTTCAACACTAAATTATTAATGTGTCGTGAGATGCTAAGGGTTAGAACAAAACTGCAACACTAAATTATTAAAGAGTTAACGAATTTTAAAGCTAAGATAACAATCATTCCAGAAGTTAGCATTGATAAATCAAGTAAGACCTTAGACTTCATATTCAAAGTACTAAGGTATGCCAACGAAAAAGAAGAGTAATAAACTACTTGTTGACGACAACGATTACTTCAAAAAGCAAAACATTGCTTTTTGTTATAATTTAATCGTAAACCCCGCAGCAACAAATCCCCCCCAAGGTGGGCCATTCCATG